GTAGGGATGTCTACTTTAGGTAGCGGATTGATGTTCGCTTTTTTCCATATGTCCGGCCAAATAGATGTTTTTAATGATAGATTCCAGCATCTTGTTACCACAGGTGCAAATATATCTGCGAAATCTTTCCAGACCCAGAACGGAATTTGATCTGGCCCGGTTGCAGTTCGTCGTATGTTAGTTAAAGTTTTAAATACTTCCATAACAGATAAAGTTGGTGGTACTACCGCATGATTGCTAGTGTCATGTGATAAATTAGTTGGACCAACATAATCATCATCTGTGCAGAGATTACAGAAATACTCATTTAAGCTGTTAGTACTATCAGCGTCCAAGCAAGGTYGAGGATTTTGTTTCCTATTAGATAACATATCCACTCTCTTCCACCATGTCTTTGATCCTATCTTTCCAGAGCCAAGTTTCGTTTTGTTTTCCTTGATTAACTCAGAGATTCTGTTGTTTAAATTTTGTACGTCGCTGTTTGGATTTCTGCACATCTTTTTAGATCTTTTGTTTAGCAAGAATTTTAACAGCGGGGACATCCAGACTGGGTCTCTCGACGATAATTTTACAGATCGTAATGGAAAGCACTCGTCCATAGCTCTTTTAATGATTTCGTGTAAGGTATTAACAGCATTATTTACTTCWTYTGCTTCAAGGACAGGTGACCAGTCAACGCCTTCTAAGTAGTTGTTAAAGGAAATCTTGTTATTCTCTCTGTAGTCTCTGAAAAAGCACTTGAAACGTAGTGGTTTTAATTTTATTCCTGCTGGGAGAATTACACCTTTGTGATCAGTTTTAATAATAGACTTGATGGCATAACATTTCTCAAAAAGCCAAGGTTTGTTAGTAAGACAATTATCAAGCGTYGAGTCTTTGCGTGTTGGAAAGTCCACAAGAGCCGTTATATCAATTAAAGTTTGAAAGTGAACAATATCAAAACGATTAAAATCTCCTCCACATACGACCACACTTTCAGGGTTTCCATTTAGAAAGTCATCAATTAACTTAGAWAGATAATTAGCTAACGATTGCTCATCKTAGTTATATTTGGGAGGATGATAAACTCCAATGATAAGCATTATGTCTTTCGATGGTAATTCAACTTTAACACTAAGAACTTCAAATTGATCTGCTCTGTTGACATCGATGACTTTCAAATTATCCCTGATGTAGATTGCAACTCCACCATTCTTTCGTTTGTCGATATTGTTCCAACCTCTGTCCCTACGAAATACTGTAAAATTGTTTATGTAGATAGAAGAATCTGGAATGCTATTTTTGAGATGTGTTTCTGTGGGGCTAACTAAACAGTCATGGCGGACAGCAAAAAAGCAACTGATGAAAACACTGACCACGTGACTAATATCCCTCGGCCCAGGCTCCAGTGGTGTAAGAAAACATTTTCCACTTATTTCGTTCCTCAGCCAGTGGAAAATACAACATAGCTTGAGTGTGGCTTCTTGAAGTTATAAAGGTTTTTCCATGTCATATTCTAATACTGTGACGTATGAGGAGGTACTTATGTTTATTTGTTGTTCCTTGTAATTCGAGACACTGGCTTCTATGTGAAAACTAATTTGAAATAATTTCTATAAGAGCAATGGGGAAAACAATGACGTATTTCAAATTCAATTTATCTATGCCAGTAATGTTTTGTATATTAAATGATTACTCCTCATACGTCATACTCAAACTATAAATGTTTTTCAGGTTATTCCACATCTTACCCCATGTAGAATCAATACTGTGAATATTGGCAGAAGGGTGATAGGCACTTTAATATAATAAATCTATTATTAGTAATGGTTAACCGATAATTTGTAGTTCCAGAAAATCCATGCCCCCCCACCTAGGAATTTGGAATTTTCGAGGGTAGGGAGGCTAGAATAGAACAAAATTAGAGTTTGTATAGAAGAAAATTTGAATTTATGGGGGTGGGGTGGGGTCTTAAAAAAATTCATCAAAGTGGGCTGATCCTCACAGTATATGAAACAACTTATGCTGCTGCAAATTGAAAATCTGAGCCTTGAACGGGATTTCAACCCGCACCCTGGCAATTCCGGTGCCATGCTCTAACCACAAATTCCTCTGGGGGGAGAGTATGAATATATTCTGGAACTACACAACAGCACAAGGGGGTTAGTATGAAATCAAATCGTTTATGAAAAGAATTATTGTGGACTAACTCTAGATTAATGTTGTTGCTGCTGTCACTAATGATATTATAAGGATCATATTTATTGAAGGTATTCATTGTTGATTTGATTTCATACTAACATCCCTGTGTGTCCTACTGCCTAGGACGGATGTTGTTGGTAATTTATTATCATTTGTTGTAAATATGGTTGTTGATGATAATGATGTTGATTATTTGTGTATGATAGTGATGGTGATGTTGATAGAAATGATGGCTATGGTTATGTTGATTGCAATGGTGATTTAATGATGATGTGGGTGATGATGGAGAGGATGATGATGATGCATGGTTATGATAATGCATGATGATGATGATGCATGATGATTATAATGCATGATGCATGGTGATGATGATGCATGGTGACTGGTGATGATGACTAATGATGGTGATGATGACTAATGATGGTGATGATGACTAATGATGGTGATGATGACTAATGATGGTGATGATGACTAATGATGGTGATGATGATGATAACTAACAGTGGTGACGTTGATTGAGATTGAGATTGAGATATAGATGAAGATGGCTGTGTTTGTTTATGTTGATGGTATTGATTTAATGATAATGTGGGATAATGAAGATGATGATGATTAATGGTAATTCTGATGTTAATCTTGGAGATGATAATGGCGATGATGTTGGTATTGATTATAGGGATGATCATGGCAACAGTGATGGCAGTGTTGATGGCAGTGATGATAGTAATGTTTGTGATTGCAATGTTGATGATACAGGCCGATGTTGATGGTGATGATCATAGCGCTGACATGATTATAATGGTGATTATAAAGTAATGAAACCTCCATAATGAAACATCTATTCTTCTGTTCTTATCAGGTAATGAGAAACTCACCTCATCAACTGATGCATTAAACACCACAAAGAATGAAGAAAAGGAAAGAAGTAAAGAAAATTTGGTGCTAACAGAATCATGTGTCTGATAACATGACATTTCTCCCTCGCCATTATTATTAATAGTACATTTTAATCATTTATATCATTGATGCAAAACAGTGAAATTAGTGATAGACCAAAATATTTTATTTACTAGTGGAATATAGAGCTAATGCATTGAGTGTGTAGTCTCCTATTCCAGACCTTGTGACAGATGACCCTTGGAGATTGAGATTCCACATCTGCAATATTGATGTATCCTCTCAAATATAACTGATAAAGAAAGAAATAATACTCAAGGGAGCAACACATGACTAGGAATGGGATACTATTATTGTGCTCATAAAGGTAAAGTGTGTCGAGATTTTACGGCTTGGTTTGTAAGTTACAGTCAAATCTTTGATCATGACAAACCTATGTAGTCCAAGAGTGACAGTACATTATCAAGTTCAGTTGTATCACTAACTTTTTACTAAAAGCAGATTGCATRTCAGTGCTAAAGATTTTTTATCAGATATTTGAAGCTCAACATAGGCATTTAACATGCCTAAGTGAGTCTGTAGTGTCATTTTACATGACTTGGCTGCTATGTCTGCTCCATATTTTTTAATATTCATATGAAATCTGCTCATTGTTGAAGCAAGGTAAATTTGTAGACATAATTTGGCTACTGTTATTCAGCTTGCCATATTTTACCGATATATATCATRTAAGGTCTGTATACATTGCTAGGTTTCCATCACAGTTTCATCCAATTTGAATTCATATAAAAGGTCACATTGTTTTCATTGAAAATGAAAATCGTACAATCAGAGTGTTAGAAGTAATATTTCAAAGCCGACAATGAGGACTGGACAAGATTTCAAGTCTAAGCTGCACCTCGGACTGTAACTAATTGCGCGGACTTGAAATCCTGTCCAGTCCGATATTGGARGCTTTGAAATGACTTCTCATCTCATCGATTATTCGACTTGATAGTAACTGGAACAAAATTATGTTCCAGTTACTCCAGACTGAATGCATTCCTTTCACAGCACTTTACCAAGTTTCAAGTAACATCATGTGACCCAAAAATAGCCCATTGATTGGCTGGTTTACTCATGAATTATTAATGAGTATGAGAAAAGCATTTCAAAACATTATTTACCACCAATTTCAATACTACTCATTCTTCTGGCARTCTGTACYTTGCACTTGGTTTTCAGACATCAAAGAAGCTGCATTCTCTATGTTTGATATTTATGATTAACAAAAGACTATTTTCAGCTTAGAAGTATAGACTTGTGTCTGTCAAGAACATGAAGCAATGGAATTGGTGGTAACCAAATTAGGTTTTAGGAATATATAGTTCAAAGCAAAACTTTGAAATAACGTTTACTCTAAAGCACCTACCTTTACAACCTCTTGTTAAATGCTCAACTTTTGGAAAGTTGGTAAAAGAGTAAGAAAAAGTACTATTACTTGACACTGTCTATGAGTTAGCAACGTCATATATTCAGTCAATTGAACGCATTAAGAGAAGCTGTACACAATAAATGCAATACGAAAAGTATTTGTGCCAAAATGAATGAATAGCTTTATTATGGTTGCACATATGTTTTCCCTCGTCATTGAAGCAATAGGCTCAAAGGCCAAACTTCTTGTGTACGTTCCTAAACATATAGTTGCTATATACCAAAGAACACAATTACCAAGCAAAGCCAAGTTTATGAAATCAAAATATATCAGAAATTAGATTGGATATATTTTAGCAAATTAAGAATATAAGGAAAAATTATAATGTTAGTGGTTAAGATACCTAGAGTGTCTTGATGATGACATCATTATTGTTATCACCATCATACTTATGACTGTCAGCAGCCTTGTGATTAGCATCATTGTCCTTGTCATCATTGTTATTATTGACATCAATGTCAAGATTCAATATTATCTTGTATCCTCAATGTCATCTTTGTCATGATTATCATTCCCATCATCACCATTAATTTATCACCATCCATCATCATCACCATCCATTATAATCACTATCCATCATCATCACCATCCATTGTTATTACTATTAACACCATTATCACAATTGACATCACATCATTGTTATCATCACCACCACTATCACCATCACTGTCATCATCACCACCACTATCACCATCCATCATGATCATCACCACTATCACCATCCATCATGATCATCACCACTATCACCATCCATCATCATCATCACCACTATCATCATCACCACTATCACCATCCATCATCATCACCACCACTATCACCATCCATCATCATCACCACCACTATCACCATCGCTGTCATCATCACCACCACTATCACCATCCATCATCATCATCACCATCCATCATCATCATCACCACTATCACCATCGTTGTCATCATCATCACTATCACCATCACTGTCATCATCACCACCACTATCACCATCCATCATCACAATTGGCATCATAATCATTACCTTTCATCATTAACACCATTCATCATCAGCATAATCGTCCATCATCACCATAGCAAATCATCAACACCATTCATCATCAGCATAATCGTCCATCATCACCATAGCAAATCATCANTCATCATCAGCATAATCGTCCATCATCACCATAGCAAATCATCAACACCATTCATCATCAGCATAATCGTCCATCATCACCATAGCAAATCATCATCAACACCATCATCAGCATAGTCATCCATGATTATCACCATCTTTATTTATCATCAACACCATCATCATCACCCTCATCTTTCATCAACGCTAAATAAATACTAAATACTTCTGCTAAAGTATTTTTCTTGTATAGTGCTATCATTCGATGCAATCTTCTTTACTGAGGAACGCAAATTCAAGATGTGTTCTTTAGATAGTTCATTTATAATGTCAGAATATTTGTACAAAGCAATTTCTATTAAGTTAACTAACACAGGAAATCTAATATAAGCATATTAGGAATTCCCAAGCTTGCATTTGCCTTTTTTGAAAAAAAGGGCTTATTCACTTTAAAATCCACGAAAAGGGAATATCAGATAGTGCATTACACATCACATGGTCAATATATGTTATTTTAATACAATTTTTTAAGAATATGTTTGTAAACGTCTGGCTTCACATGATCTCATACTTGCCAACAACAGTAACTAATGTGTATGTTCATCTATTGCTGAACAAATTCAAATACAGCCTTTGAATAAAACATTAAAAACAAATCATGATTATTTTGTTTCAAGATTCAGAGATAACAGAGAAATTGGAGTTGGGGGAGCTTACACAAACAAAAATAGTTTCCTCTTATAAGGTTCCTAAAGCTTTGAAATCAATTTAATTAACTACGTTACAATAGCAAAAAGTCATGGTTTATATATCAGGGCAAATAAGAAAGAGGAACGCCTGGTGATTTTCATCACTTTTACACCAACGGATTAAGTTCAAAATTAAACATTTTGAGCTGGTGTAAAAATCCCGACATCGACCAGGCGTTCCTCGTCCTTTTTATGGAAGCTTTTCTGATAAAATTTTAACCCTTTTTTGAAAAACACTTGGAAATTGTTCCAAATGCTCCCAATCCCAAGGGAATAGCCCCTCGAACCCCCCGGCAAATCCTAGAAAAGTTAGAATTGACGGGTTTTACTTTGGAAACTTTCGAAGAACGCGAGAAAAGCAGAACACGTTATGCAAATGAGAGCGAGGAACGCCTGCTGATTTTCATCACTTTTACACCAACGGATTAAGCTCAAAATTAAACATTTTGAGCTGGTGTAAAAATC